AGAGCAAAAGAGCAATGGTAGACACACTAGCTGAGGTGGCCAGAAGAGCTCATATGGGGAGAGCAAAGTTACTAGTTATGGGTGATTTCAATCACAAGGAGACTGACTGGGAAAATCTGGAGCTCCATGGGGATCTCAAAACATGGAGAGCCAAGATGGTGGATGTGGTACTGGAAAACCTCATGCATCAACATGTTAGAGACACTACCAAAGAGAGAGGTGAAGATGACCCAGCAAGACTGGACCTTGTATTCACCTTGAGTAGTTCGGACATCGACGATATCACATACAAAAGGCCCTTTGGAGCTACTGATCATGTGGTTCTGTGCTTTGAATACATAGTTGAGCTACAAGTGGAGAGGGTAGCAGGAATAGGATGGGGAAAACCAGACTACGAAAGGGAGGACTACACAGGCATGAGGAACTTCCTGCAAGACGTTCAGTGGGAGAGAGAGTTGGCAGGAAAACTAGCAAAAGAAATGATGGATTACATGACAAAATGCAAGGAGGCAAAGGAGAGGTTTGTTCCCAAGGGAAACAGAAATAATGGGAAGATCAGAACGTGTCCTTGGTTTACCCTAAGGTGTAGGGAGGCAAAAACTAAGTGCACTAGAGAATGGAAAAAGTACAGAAGACAAAGGACCCAGGAAAATAAAGAGATTAGCTGAAGAGCCAGAAACTAACATGCACAGATAAAAGGGAAGGCTCAGCGACAATACAAAAATGACATAGCATCAAAAGTTAAGTCTGACCCGAAGCTACTGTATAGTCACATCAGGAGGAAAACAGTCTAGGACCAGGTAATCAGGCTGAGGAAGGAAGGTGGGGAGTTCACAAGAAATGACCAAGAGGTATGTAAGGAGCTGAACATGAGATTTAAGGAGTATTTACAATGGAGACAGGAAGGACTCCAGGAATTCAGACCAGGGAGGTACACCAACAAGTGCTGGACGAAATACACACAATCAAGAAGAAAACTGCTTTGTGAACCTGATACCTCAAAGGTGGTGGATCCTTAGAGAGGGAGCAGAGATGTTTGTGCCACTAGCAAAAATCTTCAACACATCCATTGAAACTGGGCAACTACCTGAGGTATAGAAGATGGCAAATATAGTCCCAATTTTTAAGAAAGGAGACAGACACGAGGCATTAAACTATAGACTTGTGTCACTGACATGTATAGTATGCAGCATCATGAAGAAGATCATCAGAAGGAGAGTGGTGGAGCACCTAGAAAGACACAGGCTTATAAATGACAATCAACACGGTTTCAGGGAAGGAAAATCCTGTGTCACAAACCTACTTGAGTTTTATGACAAGGTAACAGAAGTAAAACACAAGAGAGAGGGGTAGATAGATTGCATTTCCTTGGAGCCTCTCTCTCCCTGCTCCTTGAGCAGGGAGAGGACCTAGTAGCAATCAGTGAAGAAGAGGGGCCAAGAGTTGTGAATAGACCCCTACAGCCACAAATAGGTGAGTACACACACACACACACACACACCTAAAAAGAAATGAGCTTATCAACAACAGCCAACACGGTTTCAGGGATGGGAAATCCTGTGTCACAAACCTACTGGAGTTCTATGACAGGATGACAGTAGCAAGGCAAGAGAGAAAGAGAGAGGGGTGGGTAGATTGCATTTTCTTGGACTGTAAGAAGGCGTTTCACACAGTTCCACACAAGAGATAAGTACAAAAACTGGAGGACCAGGCAGGGATAACAAGGAAGGCACTACAATGGATCAGGGAATACCTGTCATGAAGAAAGCAGCGAAGCATGGTACGGGGCGAGGTGTCAGAGTGAGCGCCTGTGACGAGTGAGGTTCCATAGGGGTCAGTCCTAGAACCGGTGCTGTTTCTGGTATTTGTGAACGACATGACGAAGTGTCTCTGTTTGCAGATGATGTGAAGTTGATGAGAAGAATTCAATCGAACGAAGACCCGGCGGAGTACAGTCTAGGGGGAGCCAGATACTACAAACCTCATTCAAGGAAAAAGATCTTGGGGTGAATATAACACCAGGCACATCTCCTGAGACGCACATCAACCAAATAACTGCTGCAGCATATGGAAGCCTAGCAAACCTAAGAACAGCATTCTGCCCTCTTAATAAGGAATCGTTCAGGACCCTGTACGATAGGTCCATATTGGAGTATGCGGCACCAGTTTGGAGCTCACATCTAGCCAAGCACGTAAAGAAACTAGATTGAAAGTGCAAAGGTTTGCAACAAGACTAGTCCCAGAGCTAAGGGGTATGACCTACGAGGAGAGGTTAAGGGAAATCGCCATGACGACACTGGAGGACAGGAGAGATAGGGATGACATGATTAACGACATATAAAATACTGAGAGGAATTGACGAGATGGACAGAGACAGAATGTTCCAGAGATGGGACACAGCAATAGGGGGACACAGTTGGAAGTTGTAGACAGAGATGAATCACAGGGATGTTAGGAAGTATTTCTTCAGTCACAGAGTAGTCAGAAAGTGCAATAGTTTGGGAAGCGATGTAGTGGAGGCAGGATCCATTCAAAGTTTTAAGCAGAGGTATATAAAACTCATGGGGCAGAGAGAGTGACCCAGTAGTGCCCAGTGAAGAGGCGTGGCCAGCAGCTATGAAAAGACCCCTGCAACCACAACTAGGTGAGTACAACTAGGTGAGGTGAGTACACACATACACACTGCTGCAGCATACGGGCGCCTGGCAAATCTGAGAACAGCGTTTCGACATCTAAGGAGTCATTCACGACACTGTACACCGTGTACGTGAGACCCATATTGGAGTATGCAGCACCAGTATGAAACCCACACCTAGTCAAACATGTCAAGAAATTAGAGAAAGTGCAAAAGTTTACAACAAGACTAGTACCGGAGCTAAGGGGTTTGTCCTACAAGGAGAGGTTAAGGGAACTCAACCCGACAGCAGTGGAGGACAGGAGGAATAGGGATGCCTTTGAACCTTTGATATACCTTTGAAGAGTTTCGAGAGTTTCACTACTCTCGTCTGGTGCTTGCCTGCTCAACCAGGCTGTTGCTACTGGAAGCCCGCTGCGCCACATATGCATCACAGCCTGATTGATCTGGCACCTGGTGAAGGGAGGACGTGATAACAACATATAAAATACTGAGAGGAATTGACATGACGGATAGGGACAGAATGTTTCAGAGAAGTGACACAGCAACAAGGGGTCACAATTGAAAGTTGAAAACTCACATGAGTCACAGGGATGTTAGGAAGTACTTCTTCAATCATAGAGTTGTCAGGAAGTGGAAAAGTCTGGAGAGTGATGTAGTGGAGGCATGATCCATACACAGCTTTAAGCAGAGGTTTGATGAAGCTCATGGAGCACGAAGAGAGTGGACGTAGTAGCGACCAGTGAACAGGTGGGTCCAGGAGCTCTGAATCGACCCCTGCAACCACAATTAGGTGAGCACACACATACAAGACTGGCAGTGTGGTGAGCTCACTTGAGGGTGAGGAGTCTTCACGAGAAAGCAGAAGAGGCACAGTAACGTGTGTGAGGCGAGAACTTGCATATCACCTCATTAATTCTCTGCAGCAGCTGCATGTTGGCATTTATAGAAGGAGAGAGCGAGAGCGAGGCTTCTTATAAAGTTTGCTCTAATGGGGGGGATTAGGGTTGAATGACTATACTCACATACTTGTATTCACCTTCTTATGTTCGCGAGGATCAAGCTCCAGCCCTTGGGCTTCGTAATTTCCGGTCGACTGACGTGTTACCACCAAGTGATTTTTGTTCAGAATACCAAATATTTTGATTTAAAGGCATCTACAGAAGCAGCCTCTGTTATATGCTGATCTAATTAATTCTTCTCCTTTGTAACTTTTACACTATAACCAATATTTTCCAACACATTTTTATATTTCTCTGGGCAACTAGTGGCCTTCTGAGTCCCCTTATCCTGGTCCCTCTCATACTGAAGAATCTGTCTCTCGTCCTAGTTCCTCTCATACTAGTCTCATCATCCTAGTTCCTCTCATAATAGTCTCCTCATCCTAGTTCCTCTCATACTAGTCTCCTATCCTGTTTCCTCTCATATTAAAATGTCTCCTCATCCTAGTTCCTCTCATACTGAGGCACTTCAGGAATGTACTTCTCCCATACTCTATATTATTTATCATACAAGAAACATAAGTTGTCTACGTTAATGAGTGTAGGGGATCGGGATGAGGGTAGGAAGGTTGGTGTTGGGATGAACTCTAACTCTTGGGTCCGTCTTTAAACTTATGACTGACTAACGTCAACTGATGTGCAGCTGTTGCACATGATTTGATGGTATTCCTGTTTAAATCCATGCACTTTTTACCTCGTTCTGTGGGTGCAATTAAAGAACAAAGTGAATTCCTAATGGTTATAATTATAACCATAATTTTTAAAGGGGTGGACCGGTAAGCCAGCGGAAGGCCTCGGTCAGATAACCAAACGCTCCAATGGCGGGTCATCATATGACCCGCGTCAGGAAACACTTTTCCTGTTTCCTGACAAACCTTACCTAAAATAACATCGTCAAGACTCTTCAACATATTACCAGCAGATATCAGAAATACTACCGAAACTGAGATAGAGGTTTCCAAGAAACTGGATAGCTTCCTGCTACAGATACCGGATCAGTCGGGTAGTGATGGTTATGTAGACCTGCAGGCCTGTGTACCTGTGGTAAACCTGTGAAAAGTTTCAAGTGTTTTCTTCTTCCCGCAGAACGGGCCTGGGTCAGGCTTGTCTGGTAACTGCCTGCTCACCCAGCCTGTAAACACAAACAGCCTGATTGACCAGACTTCAGCAGGAAAGCCTGGCCTCAGGCCGGGCTGCGGGAGTAGAAGAGTTCCTGAAATTGATTACAGGTAAATCACAGATATAATATATTCATTGTGTTGTCTTTTAGTTTACTCATGGAGGGGAGCATGGAGAGAGGAATACCATGTGAGCAGGGAGAGGTGTGAGCATAACCAGGTGAGCCATAGGCCTAGGTGACTCACCTAACAACGGTGCGGAGGAGGGTGGAGCGAGCCTCGTTGTGGAAGGTGATGATGACGGAGGTCTGAGGTAAATCCACACGCCACTTCTTCTTGCGACACCTGCAACACAAAAACAACATCGTCAGCTAACACGAGACATCATCGTCAGCTAACGCAAAATACTACCTGTCAACATAAGACATCAGCTGTTCTGTTCTGTTCTTGATAATCGCCCGGCCCGGGCCTTTTCCAAGAGGTGACCCGGCGTTGGTTCCCTGTCGAGGGAGTGTCTCAGACCAATGTCTGCCATGGGAGGAAGTACAAGTACCTCCTCATCTTCTGGGACTAGCTGTCCCCAGGCCTAGCCCCGTACCCCTCCCCCAAGGGGCTCGGAGGGAGAAGCTAGGCACCTTGGGCTGCCACAAATCCCGCCCACACTGGGCTCGAAGGGTGTGGCAGCTGCACAGCAGCAGACGATGTCAGGAGGTGCAAAGGCAGCAAGCACTACAGGATGTTTTTGGAGTCACACCCCACCTTTGGGCATTAAGCCCGAGTGCCGAGGAAGGTCAAGAATGCCCCTTGCTGTGTATGTTGCTGCTGCTACTACACTTGCCCGTTGCATTCTGAGACATCGGCTGACAAACATCTTTCGCTAATACAACACATCATCAGATAACACAAGACATCTTCAGCAAACACAAGACATCTTCAACTAACACAAGACATCGTCAGCTAACACAAGACATGATGAAGGCAGTCTCTTAGGCTATAGCTCACCACATGTGCATAACAATCACGCTAGACCATCTTTTAAGATAACCTTCATACAACTACCTTATGAGTGCCACGTATTCTCTCTACATACAGCTACCTCACGAGTGCCACGTACTTTCTACATACAGCTACCTCACGAGTGCCACGTACTCTCTACATACAGCCACCTCATGAATGCCACGTACTCTACATATAAATATCTCATGAGTGCTACGTACTCTACATATAAATATCTCATGAGTGCCACGTACTCTACTATAACATGAGTGCCGTAACTCTATATATCTCATGAGTGCCACGTACTCTACATATAAATATCTCATGAGTGCCACGTACTCTACATATAAATATCTCATGAGTGCCACGTACTCTACATATAAATATCTCATGAGTGCTACGTACTCTACATATAAATATCTCATGAGTGCCACGTACTCTACATATAAATATCTCATGAGTGCTACGTACTCACAGATAAACCGCCATCAATAATTTCTCTAAACATTTTAACAGGAATCACAAAAAAAAAATATATAAAGCAAGTAGTTCTTTGGCAGTGTTGTAATTTAGGATGCACAATATATTCTAAACAACTGCTGCATCTTTGTTTTACACACCTGAAGCAAGCCAATATGTCTGGATTTATTTTACAAAAGAAAAAATCTTGTTCTTTTTTACCCATATGGTTCAACTTACCAATAACTCATTTACCAATAACATCCCTTCTCCTTGTGTCACTTAAAAAAATACAAAGTCCTGAACTAATTGAAGTTCTGAACTAAATGAAGTTCTGGAATTTGCGAGGAGAGGATCGAACCTCCACCACTCCTTATGCTGACTGATCCACACGGGTTTAGTTCTTGAAGTATGTTATAATTACAGGGACCATCTGCTAGAAAAATGACAGGATGGATAATGAGAACCTTCAAAACTAGGGAGGCCAAGCCCATGATGACACTCTTCAGGTCACTAGTTCTATCTAGGCTGGAATATTGCTGCACACTAACAGCACCTTTCAAGGCAGGTGAAATTGCTGACCTAGAAAATGTACAGAGAACCTTCACGGCGCGCATAACGGAGATAAAACACCTCAATTACTGGGAGCGCTTGAGGTTCCTGAACCTGTATTCCCTGGAACGCAGGCGGGAGAGATACATGATTATATACACCTGGAAAATCCTAGAGGGACTAGTACCGAACTTGCACACGAAAATCACTCACTACGAAAGCAAAAGACTTGGCAAACGATGCAACATCCCCCCAATGAAAAGCAGGGGTGTCACTAGCACGTTAAGAGACCATACAATAAGTGTCAGGGGCCCGAGACTGTTCAACTGCCTCCCACCAATACATAAGGGGGATTACCAACAGACCCCTGGCAGTCTTCAAGCTGGCACTGGACAAGCACCTAAAGTCGGTTCCTGATCAGCCGGGCTGTGGCTCGTACGTTGGTTTGCGTGCAGCCAGCAGTAACAGCCTGGTTGATCAGGCTCTGATCCACCAGGAGGCCTGGTCACAGACCGGGCCGCGGGGGCGTTGACCCCCGGAACTCTCTCCAGGTAAACTCCAGGTAAAACCATCGTCCCCGTGGCCTACTCTCCGACTAGACCATACAGCTGACACACAGCTCTATGCCTGCAACTCACACTGTACAGTCATATAACTATATTTTGTTTGAAGTAAATTCCTTTATATTTTAGGAGAGTTATTGAAAGGCCAGACATCTTTACATTAAATGGTTGTCTTCTTTTACACAGTCTGTCGTACCTCCCAATCTGGTAATGAATAATTACAGCTCGTAGATTTCGTTTCTTTTCAATGTCTTTGAATTCATTTGTACCTTAATTCCCGCATCTTCCTTGAATGTCTGTCGCTTTTCAGTCTTGAAATCTTCGTTTCTTTTGAGAGTGGTGAAGAATGTGATGGTGGTAATGACATGTAATGATGATGGTGGTGGGGATACATGATGGTAGTGGTGATGATGGCACGTGACAGTTGGTGCTGGAGACGTGATGCTTATTGCATCTAAAGTATGCTGGGCTGCAGACTCCTCGAAGCTCTCACAGACAACCCATTCAAAGATAAAAATCGTTTCGTTTTCTTATCGTGATGGAAGAAGACAAATTAGATTTGTCTTTTTGGTAGGTTTGCAGCACATGTTTAGTCTGAGTTATCGGTGTATTTTGTATCTTCTGTGTGACTTGATAAAGAACTTAAGAGATTGAAACACGTTCAATATATATTTATTCTGGAAAGTATTGTACCTGCCTGGTGTTGACGTTGGAATAATTCTATAAGCTAGATAACACAATCTGACTTCGTTCTGTCATTTTTCTCGTCTTTTTTTACGTAGAGAGGTCGGTTTATGTTGGATACCTCAAGCACTGCTGCTCTGTTTACGAGTTACATTGTAGACTTTGTTGTGTTTGACTAGTTTACTCTTGTGATCAGTCGCAACATAACACACGCACGGTCTCTCACACATACACTAGACACAGGAGTTGCAACACAGCCACTACAAACACAAGACGGTAGTAAAACATGAAAAATTACATACACACACACAGATAGTCACATGTACACACACCAACCATACAACTTCAGCAAAAATTCGGTAATTAACCCAAGAACTGCATTCGGGGACCTTAAAAGGAAATTTAATTCATTATACAGCATGGAGCACGCATCTGATTAAACATGTTAAGAATTTTTTTTTTATGATTCTATAAATCATTCCAGCCCATCCCACACCTATCCAACCCATTCCCACACTAATCCAACTCACACATCCATCAAACTCACTCCCACACCCCTCAAACTCACTCCCACACCTATCAAACTCACTCCCACACTCATCCACCTCACACCACACCCATCAGACTTACTCCCACACCCATTGACCTCACGCCACACTCATCAAACTCACTTCCCACACCCATCAAACTCACTCCCACACCCATCAAACTCATTCCCACACTCATCCACCTCACATCACACCATCAAACTCATTCCCACACTCATCCACCTCACACCACACCCATCAATTTCACTCCCACACTCATCCACCTCACACCATACCCATCAAACTCGCTTCCACACCCATCAAACTCACTCCTGTACCCTTCAAACTCAATCCCACACCCATCCACCTCACTCCCGCACCCAAGCAACTCTCATTTTTCAACCCTCAACCTCTGTCCTACTGGCCCATCTCTCCTGATTGATGAACTGGTAGTCAGGCTCTGTGATGGTTCCATGACGTTCCCTGATGTATACACCATACCACCAGGGAGAAGCAGGTCGTACTGGATAGTGATGAATGACGTAGCTGGTTCTTGACGCACAACAAACAGTTGCCAAGTTCCTGACGAACCAAAAACAGTTGTTGGGTTTCTGAAGTATGCACACAAACAATTACTAGGCTCCTGACGTATCACAAACAGTTGTTAGGTTCCTGAAGTATGTACACAAACAATTACTAGGCTCCTGACGTATCACAAACAGTTGTTAGGTTCCTGAAGTATGTACACAAACAATTACTAGGCTCCTGACGTATCACAAACAGGTTAACGTTTACACAGCACATCTCTGCTTAACTGGGTCACCAAGTAATCTAATTCTCGATATAATTCAACACTATAAAACTTAAGAATTAGTGGTTTATCAGACTCATTGGTTTAACGGTAGTGGTTTAAACCAAGGGAATAAACGAAGTCAGATATTTAAGATATAAAGGGATAAAGAAATACGGGTTAACTCACTGGTTTAAAAATATAGGATACGTGGTAAGTGGTCAAGTACTGCACCTTAGTGTTCAGAAGGATTTAAGATAAACTGCTGGCAAGGTCAGTGTTAGCAGGAGAGGCGGTGCTGGCAAGGTCAGTGTTGGCAGGAGAGGCGGTGCTGGCAAGGTCAGTGCTGGCAGGAGAGGTGATGCTGGCAAGGTCAGTGTTGGCAGGAGAGTTGGTGCTGGCAAGGTCAGTGTTGGCAGGAGAGGCGGTGCTGGCAAGGTCAGTGTTGGCAGGAGAGTTGGTGCTGGCAAGGTCAGTGATGGCAGAAGAGTTGGTGCTGGCAAGGTCAGTGTTAGCAGGAGAGTTGGTGCTGCCATGGCCAGTGTTGGCAGGAGAGTTGGTGCTGGCAAGGTCAGTGTTGGCAGGAGAGTTGGTGCTGGCAAGGCCAATGTTGGCAGGAGAGTTGGCGCTGGCAAGGTCGGTGTTGGCAGGAGAGGTGGTGATGGCAATGTCGGTACTGGCAAGAGAGGTAGTGTGGCAAGGACACTGTTGGCAGGAGAGTTGGTGCTGGCAATGTCAGTGTTGGCAGGAGAGGTAGTGCTGGCAAGGTCACGG